CGAGCGACCTGATCGTAATGGTGGTGGTCGAACTTCCAATGCTCGTGGTCGCGGAGGTCGTAGTTCTGGACGAGGCAGAGGTTCGATTGTTGCTGCTCATGCCACTACCTCCAGCCCATCTCCGTTTTCAACTTTTTCCCAAGATCAGTTGAAGGTTCTTGCTCAGATAATCGAAGAGAAATCAGGCAATGGAGGTTCCGATAAATTGTCTGGTAAGCTAAAATTTGGCAATGTTGTTTTAGACACCGGAGCGTCTCATCACATGACAGGGACACTCTCCTTTCTGTGTAATGTGGTGTCAATACCACCGTGTTCGGTTGGTTTCGCTGATGGAAGCAAAACACGTGCTTTAAGCATGGGCGTTCTTCCACTTTCGAACAAAGTTTCTTTGACTAATGTTCTTTATGTGCCATCTTTGAATTGCACGTTGTTGTTAGTCTCACAGATTGTTAAACAAACGAAGTGTTTTGCTACATTCACTGATACTTTGTGCTTCTTACAGGACCGTTTTTCGAAGACTCTGATTGGAACCGGGGAAGAGCGTGATGGGGTGTACTATCTTACGGATGTTGCTACAGCAAAGATTCATACGGCAAAAGTTTCTTCGGACCACGCTTTATGGCATCAGCGTTTAGGACATCCAAGTTATTCAATGCTTTCGTCTTTACCTTTGTTTTCTCATTCATCCTCGTCTGTTAGTTCTCATCCGTGTGATGTGTGTTTTCGAGCAAAACAGACAAGAGAAATTTTTTCTACAAGTATTAATAAAACAACAGAATGTTTTTCTTTAATACATTGTGATGTTTGGGGTCCATATAGAGTTCCTTCTTCATGTGGTGCAGTATATTTTTTGACTATAGTGGATGACTTCTCAAGAGCAGTTTGGACATATCTTCTACTCGAGAAATCTGAGGTGCGTACTGTGATTAAAGATTTCTTAAGATACACAGAAAAACAATTTGGAAAATCAATTAAGATGATTAGAAGTGATAATGGCACAGAATTTATGTGTCTTTCGGCGTATTTTCGTGAACAAGGTATTGTCCATCAGACGTCATGTGTTGGAACACCACAACAAAACGGACGTGTTGAACGCAAGCATCGACATATTCTCAATGTCGCTAGAGCATTGTTATTTCAATCCAATTTGCCGGTTAAGTTTTGGGGCGAAGCTATTCTCACGGCGGCTTATTTGATAAATCGTACGCCTTCGTCAATTCATAATGGATGTACTCCATATGAATTACTTCACGGCTGTAAGCCGAGTTATGATCAGTTGTGTGTCTTCGGTTCAGCTTGTTATACGCACCGGGTTACGCGTGATAAAGATAAGTTTGGTGAAAGAAGTAGAATGTGTGTATTTGTTGGTTACCCTTTCGGTAAGAAAGGATGGAAAGTCTTTGACATTGAGAGGAATGAATTCTTAGTGTCCAGAGATGTCATTTTTCACGAGGACGTGTTCCCCTATGAAAAACAAGACACGTCTTCTCCTGCAGCTATCTCTCCGCCGTTGACAAGTGATGATGATTGGCAGATTCTAACGCCTTTGATAGTAAGGGGGAGCAATGACACAAATGATGTGCCTTCCTCCGTGGATGATGACTCTGTTCCGACTCTAAATATAGAGGACTCACCTTCGGCTGCAATTGAGTCACTCACTCCATCTCCAGTTCTTGATAAAAGTGGTTCGTCGGCTGTGGCTACTGAATTGGCTGCTGTGACACCTTCATCACGTGATGACAGTCTAACTTCTAAATCGGCTACAACTACCAGTCTTGATTCCTCGCAGCCTATGTTACCTCGCCAAAGTGAGCGTCCTAAAAATGCTCCTGTTTGGTTAAAAGACTATGTGACTAACACCGCAGTTTGTACACCCGATCCCGTTCACGCTCTTCCTCTCTCCACATCGCAGTCTTCGACATCAGGTCCAGGTAAGTCACAATATCCTTTGACAGATTATATTTCCGATGACAATTTCTCTCCTGCACATCGGGTTTTCTTAGCAGCTATAACAACCAATGTTGAACCCAAACACTTTCAAGAAGCTGTCAAAATTAAAGTTTGGAACAATGCTATGCATACGGAGGTTGATGCGCTTGAAGTCAATAAGACTTGGGATATTTGTGACTTACCACCAAATAAAGTTGCTCTTGGTAGTCAGTGGGTATACAAGACGAAGTATAACTCGGATGGTTCGGTGGAACGTTACAAAGCCCGTCTAGTTGTTATGGGTAATAATCAAGTAGAAGGTGAAGATTATAAAGAGACATTCGCCCCTGTTGTGAAAATGATGACGGTTAGGACAATTCTTCGCTTGGTAGCAGCTAATAATTGGGAGGTGTATCAAATGGACGTCAATAACGCTTTCCTCCATGGTGACCTTGAAGAAGAGGTTTACATGAAGCTTCCTCCGAGTTTTCGTCATTCTCATCCTGTTAAAGTTTGTCGCTTGCGAAAGTCGTTATATGGTCTAAAGCAGGCTCCAAGATGTTGGTTCAAGAAGTTGTCAGATTCACTTCTCCGGTTTGGCTTTGTTCAGTCATACGATGATTACTCTCTTTTTTCATATACCAAGAAGAATATTGAACTTCACGTTTTGATATACGTCGATGATCTCTTGATCTGCGGTAATGATGCTTACATGCTTGCAAAATTCAAAGAGTATTTGAGCCGTTGCTTTTCTATGAAAGATTTGGGTAAACTCAAATACTTTCTTGGTATTGAGGTGAGTCGTGGAGGTGAAGGAATTTTCTTGTCACAACGCAAGTATGCACTAGATATCATCGCCGATAGCGGTACACTTGGTTCACGTCCTTCTCCGACTCCACTTGAGCAAAATCATCAACTTGCTCTTAACGATGGTCCTCTACTCTCCGATCCCAAACCATATCGACGACTTGTGGGACGTTTGCTCTATTTATTGCACACACGACCAGAATTGAGCTACTCTGTTCATGTTTTATCACAATTCATGCAAGCTCCGAGAGAAGCTCATTGGGCTGCGGCGTTAAGGGTTGTTCGTTTTTTAAAAGGATCTCCTGGCCAAGGAATCTTTCTTAATGCCGACAAAGATTTATCTCTCACGGTTTACTGCGACTCCGATTGGTCCACTTGTCCTTTAACGCGTCGGTCTCTCAGTGCTTACGTCGTCTTCCTTGGTGGCTCTCCTATTTCCTGGAAGACGAAGAAACAAGACACAGTGTCTCATTCTTCTGATGAGGCTGAATATCGATCAATGGCTGCGGCTTTACGCGAAATAAAATGGATGCGCAAATTGTTAAGAGGATTGGGCATCAAACAGTCTACACCGGCTCGTCTCTTTTGTGATAGTAAAGCTGCCCTCCATATTGCTTCTAATCCGGTTTTCCATGAGCGTACGAAGCACATTGAAAATGATTGTCATTCCGTTCGAGATGCTTTGAAGGACGGTATAATTACTACTCATCATCTTCGTACCAACGATCAATTGGCCGATATTTTTACAAAGGCTCTCGGCCGATGTCAGTTTGAGTTTCTAATGTCCAAGTTGGGCATTTAAGATCTTCACGCTCCAACGTGAGGGGGAGTATTGGAGATATAACATATGTATTATTGGGCTTAATGTTGTGGGCTTGTTACGTATGGGTTACGGTTAGTCGGTGTGTGTAAACCCTAGCTACAATTGTGTATATAAGTCATTGTCTGTGAGTTTAATAAAGCAAGACAGTTTGATATCCAATTCTACAGTCCTCGAGATCGTCAGCATATGTTTTGGTTTCTCTATAAGCTATCTTAACTACTGTCTTCGGAAGGAGTGCCATCGAGAGAATTCCAAACTCTAGAGATTGATTATAGTTAGCCAACACAAAGAAGTGTAACAGGATAATCATATATCCTGGTTTTGTTAAACCAAACTCTCAATTCTTAATTATCTTATTTCCGGTTTAGTTACTTTATTCCAGTAAACCAAGTCTAAGTGTGTGGTTAGATCGAGTATATGTAGGCCTTTGGCCATCTTTGAGAAACTGAATCAAAAACACAAATTATCTTCTTCAATCTCCTTATTTCGATCGATCATCATCATCTTCCATAACACCAAATCTTAGATCTTCGAGGTGATCCTTCACCTTCTGGACTTTGATTTGCCCTTATCTCGTGCTCTCGGTGAGTGCTGATTTGGGATTTATCATACCGTTACAAGAACAAATTGTGTGTGAGATGTCTGGTTTGATGATAAAACCTCTCTATTTATAGATCTTCTAGACAAATTTCCCTTTTTTAAGGTAGAGTATCACAAAAAGGAAATTTCCTTTTTTTTTTTTTAAGGTTGATCACAAAAAGGAAATATGGTTTTGGTAGTTTCCTTTTTTCTCTGATTCAACAAGCCATCTCCTATAACTCTGACGTTGATATCAGGCTACCAATGCTGGTCTGTGTGTCAGAGAGAGAAGCGGCTTGGTCCTGAGATACACAACAAGAAAGCAGGAGCCATGAATTCTTTGGTTAGAACCAGCTCAACGCTATCATATCTTCAATCTTGATTCTGACCACTACATCTACAACTCCATGGATATGTTCAGTTCCCTCAGAGGTTTCGTTATGCGCACCACGTCATTGTCTTCTTTGATGTTAGTATGAAGTCTGCAAGTCTTTGTATCTTCCGGAAAGAGCCATTAACAGTAGGAGGGAAGATTGTCACTTACCGGGGATGTTTTTGGTGGTAGACGTTTTGTTTTTGAGGATTATAAGCTTATGCAGAGAAGAAGCAAAGAGGAAAATAAAGTTTGGTAACTAAAAATGCAGTGGAAGGATTGGCATTGCTTCATCTTAAACGAGATTCTGTGTGTATGGCGTTTGATGTCTCATGTTGGAGAGGTGGTCTTGTTTAGAGTGTTTGTGTTTAGTTCTGTTCTTCTGTTGATCTGTCTTTATGTAAATCACACAAGTATGCAGAACAAACCTCTCTTTCAGAAAACGATACATAGTTACAACTTCTACCAAGTAAGCAACAGAAACAACAATTAATGAGAGATGATTTTGGTATTGAATGAGTTTGTCCAAACACATTAACGACAAACAAATAATATAACACACAACAGCAGAAACAGAAGATGATTGTTCTTTTGTCTCTTTGATCAGAGATGATGTTACAATTCTGTAGAGAGACACCATTTCTACTGGTCTGTAAGAAATTTAGAACCTGTATAAGAAAACAACCTCACAGAATTCACATAACTTAACTCCGCAAGCTCTTCCTTCTTCATGTTTGACAGGTTCGCAACATAATCTAGAACCTGTTCATCACGGAAAATATCAGACAAGTAATGTGTAATCTAATCAGTAGAAACAAGAAAAAAAAAAAGTCAAATGATAATAACATACAGCAAGAATGTTTGCAGGCTCATTGAGAGCTTTGGTCACTTGTGTAAGCCTTTCAAACTTGTGAAGGAGTCTTTGTTGTCATCTGATCAACGGCATGAACCACATTCTGAAGCTCCTCCTCGCATATGGCTTTATACATCATCATCTGCCTGTTCACTGAGGATTTCCCTTGAACGCCGCTGATACCACGTTAATGCTGCACCAGAACAATGAGACATCAAGCCAGAATTATTTTAATACAACTGTTACAAACTCTAACTATTTTTCTGCAGAATCGAGACTTTAGTCACACTAACGAAGATGGGCTCTAAAGTTGCAGGTGATTAGTGAAAAAAAGTGGTCCATCTTCATCTCAGAAACAGAAGTCTCCAACACACAGATCACCTCACAACTTGGATTTGTATAAACTTTGTTGGTATATGATTGACCAAAGAATAAAGAGTTAAGCAAGACTTACCAAAGTCCTTCAACAGACATAAACCGACACTGTCTGCATCCAGTTGTTCTTTGATCTGCGCAATGAACAAACATTTCTTCAAGCTTAAACACAAGCAATCAGATGCCTCCTGATTCATGATTTTCTCTAATGTGATCTTAGTTAGCTCAATGAAACCCAATTTCAATCATTTCAAATATATATATATATATATATATATATATATATATAATGTGGCAGCAGCATCAATCTAAAGCTCTAATGCCAGAAAAAGAAGATCAGAAGTTTGTGAGCAATCCCTTTTAAAACCACAGTGGTGAATGAAGTGATGTTATCAAGAGAGTTAAACAAAGTATTGTCAAATCACTTTCCAAAAAGTTGTTTTTTGATCCTCTATGAACACAGAATTGTTGAATGAAACTTTGCCAGCATACAAATTCACAAAATTATGTGTTCTTTTGGTGACATGAATGGATTTCCAGTAGAATCAATTGTATCTTAAAAAAAACAACAACTTTCATCACATTGAGAGAAGAAGACGAAAAAATAAATAATAATAACATAAAAGAGGAGCTAGCAACATGTATACTATTTCACTTTTTTTAGAGTTTTTCAGCCAATCAGAAGGCTCTATTTCAGACCCAGTCGCACAAATTGAGCGTTGCGCGAGTGAGAGCAATTCTGTAGGTGTACCCCTTTCGACATCATGCCTTTTTCAATCGACGCACTTGTCTCCAAAATCCCCATCGCGTGAATATTTTTTTGTTTTCTTCTCTTAACCAGTGTAAACCGAACCCAAAAGCAATTCTAATTTCACTACCATTTAAATCAATTTTAATTTCAAAACCAATGTAAACCTAACCGCTCGGAATAATTTCTTCTCCCTCCGACGAATAATTCTCAACATCCCAAAGGGAAATATTAGAGAGCAAACAGAGGAGAAATCAAACGTACCTCGAAGCAGAAGAGCGTTTCCGGAGCCAGAATTAGGTTCTACTTACCTTTTCACATCCTCAGCTACCTCATATGCCCACCCAAGGTTCCTTCTCCCCAAGCGCAGCTCCATGGACATTGTATGAGTTTGGGAGAACCATAACCAAATTGTACTAGTGACCTAAACCATGCCACATAACAGAGTTATTAAAGTGATTCACGATCTAAAGGATGTATTCGGGAAGAGAAAGAGCTATAAAATTAAGTACGGTAAAGATAATCGCCAAGTACCTGCATCCATTTTAGGAGATTCGACGCCATTGTACATGAAGAGTCTATCGAGAGTGAGAGAGAGGAAATTGTTCGCGAAGCTCTCTCTACCAAAGAACAACACCTTTATTTAGGCTTTACTTATCACAAAGGCCCACTTATTTGAAGCACATGTAGGCCCTTGGGCTCTTCGACTTATTAGTTACTTATTATAACAAAGGCCCTTGACTAATGAAACATCATAATATCCGTACAAAAATTGTGTGAGTTTCTATTATTTAGATATCTGTAGGAGTGTAGGTACAAAAATGAGGAAATTGTTCGCGAAGCTCTCTCTACCAAAGAACAACACCTTTATTTAGGCTTTACTTATCACAAAGGCCCACTTATTTGAAGCACATGTAGGCCCTTGACTAATGATACATCTAGTCTGTTCGTTTCGTCGCCGCAAGCGGCAGCGGCGGCGGTTGCGGCGGCGGCAAACACTACCGCAGGTTGTTGTTCGTTTCGTCGCCGCCGACGCTGCCGCAGGTTTTGTGTTCGTTTCGATGCCGCCGCCGCTGCCGCATATTTCTGTGTTCGTTTCGTCGCCGCTGCGATAATTTTCAATTAATTCACTTAATTCTTATTTTATTTTTATAAATTTGTATAATTATATTTTGAATCTAGAAAAATGTAATTTAAATATATTTACATCCATAAGAAATATTTGTTTAGCTAGTAATAATTTTTAGTTAATTATATAATTATAACCATATAATTTAACTAATGATCTTTGAAATGTAGATGTTCAAAGCAAAATGAAGAAATCAAAAGAGCAGAGAATATGATCTGAATATATCAATGATCAATGAAAGCAGAATGAAATTTGTCAACTTCGAGTGTATCTATAAGACCATACACAATTACACACTTTAATAAATACTTTTAACTAGTTTACAAATTTTGCTTAATATGTAACTAGTTAAGTATTGATTCCTTATTAGTACCACAAGTAGACAACACTCAGAACTATTTTGCCGTAGTGTCCAAGCTAACGTTCATTTCTTGAGATTCCAAGCTTCGATTCTTACTTATCCCTGTGTTTTCACACACAATACACTCTTTTAGTTAAAGGAGTGTAAGATAACTTTTTAACAAAGAAATCCTAAAGACAACACAAGAACTGACAATTAGAAAAACTCACTAGATTCACATAAATGTTTATAGATTCACATCTCTTACAGAAAATTAAGGGTATGAATCAACATTCTAGTTTGATGCAAATAAACAAATAAAACCAATAATCAAAAAGGCACATATAAGCTCAGATTCCAAAACTCTATGATCAAAAGCTGAAAACCAGATAAAGTACATCTAAAGAAGAAGCAATAGTCAAATATAGAAATATATGGAATTGAATCGTTTGACAAGAAAATTAAGAGAGAAAGGGACTACATGTAGACATGTGAATCAGAAATGAAGAAATGTGACTTAGCAATTGACAAGTAAAAAGGGACATGAAACCACACACTAACTCCTCATTCACACTTCAAGTCTCAACACATTCTAATTGCTAAACTCCACTTGTTCTAATTCCCACAACTATAAATGATTCAAACATTCCCCACGTAGAGAAGAACACCATTATCTCCAGCTAAGACAAGACGAAGTAAGTAAAATCAATGACTTATTCAATCCACGACACTTAACACCTAAACTAAAGACAGCTCCAAATTTTCCAAACCACCAACATCACGAGACTTAAAAATACAAACAAAGAGAACACACCAGTTTCTTCACCAATTCATATCCTCTCAACCTTATCAGCCTTCACCACATGATTAGCCTTAGCATTAACCTCTTACCCATCAATGTAAGATGCATCAGTTTTTTATTCCAATTTGAGTTGAAGAAACAAAATCCCAGAACCAACAATTCATGTAATCTAGTCAAGCAAACTCAGATTAAGCATAAACACCAGCATAAGCTTTAGATTAACCAGAAGATCTTAGCTATCTACTTTTAAAACCTAACATAAGCTTTAGCTACAACTCCAAACACCAAACAGAGCGATTCATCAAAAACAGATAAGAACAATGACTTCAACGGAATCAATCTTCTAATCCACTAATAAAAGAACATAAATTTCATAGAAAAATCGAAATCTAAACAAAACCCAGATGCAGAATCATTAATAGAAACAGAGATTGAGTCGGAAAAAAACAAAAACCTAACCTTTGAAAAACAGAGATCGTTTGTCTCACGGGTTGCAGAGAAAGAAGAGAAATTAGGGTTGGGTTATTTTGTAAATTTTTGAAAAATAAGGGTATTTTTGTCATTTACCATATTAATCGCAACTTTTTAATCGCCGACGCTAAATTTAATCGGCGTCCAAAATTATTCGCCGCAAACCGCAGCGTTCGCCGCAGCGTCTTGCCGCAAGTATCTGCGGTAACCAAACGAACAAACATAGCTGCGTCTGCCGCAGCCGCATGTAGCTGCGGCGACGAAACGAACAGACTAATCATAATATCCGTAAAAAAATTGTTTATATTATTTAGATATAGGTACAAAATTGTAGAATAAACCATTCAATGATTTAAACCAAACAACCAAAATGCAAAATTGTAGTTACTCCTACGAAACAGAGGCTTTATTTTCAAGGAAGTCAAGTGGAAGAATAAATAATCTTAAAACTTCCGACACAACTAAACAAATTCTTGTAACTCATTCTCCAACTAAAGACGTCTGATTCATTCAGGAGCAACCAGTATGAGTTGTTTGCCGACGTTCTTACCATGGAACAGTCCAAGCAAAGCTGAAGGTCCGTTCTCAAGTCCTTCAACTATATCCTCAACATAAGTTATCTTTCCTTCTCTTATATACGGAAGCACAAAATCCAGGAACTTTAAGTGTTTGTCAAAGTAATCAGACACCACGAACCCTTGAATCCGAATCCGCTTGTAGATCACGTTTGCTAGGTTGTGTACACCTTCCTGGTCCTCAAGGTTGTACTGTGAGATCATACCACATACTGCGATACGGCCGTGTAGCTTCATGTTTAGGAGCACTGCGTCTAGCATTTTGCCTCCTACGTTCTCAAAGTATATGTCGATTCCTTCCGGGAAACACCTGGTCACGAAAATATATCATAGTTTTAATTTGAGTCAAATCTCTATATATCACATCGCGATATATCAATGATACGAAAAGAAGAATTTACTGACCTCTTCAGGGCAACATTAAGGTCTTTCTCTTCTTTGTAATTGAATGCGTCATCAAACCCGAACTTGTTCTTGAGAAGATCAACCTATAACATAACTCATTAGAGACTGACACAAGGGGCAAGTGAATCTTATGATAGAAAGAAAAGACCTTAACCAATCAAATTTTAATTATTTTTTGATAAGGTAAATAGCTAGAGTCCAAGAAAAGTCTGGTTACCTTTTCATTACTGCCTGCACTTCCAACGACATAGCAGCCCATAATCTTTGCAAATTGTCCCACGAGCTGACCAACTGCACCCGATGCAGCTGACACGAAGACAGTTTCTCCTTTCTTAGGAGAACAGATTTCATAAAACCCAGCATAGGCAGTCATACCAGGCATACCTGTCAGAAACAGAGCAATGCTTCTAAGACCACTAAGTAAACTACTGAAACTTGTAGAGTTTTGAACAATGTTATTAGATATGTTAGCAACCAAAGCAACTATTCTACATGATTAGGAGCCACTGTTTCAGTGAAGCATGCATTATAATCCAAGACCAGAGCAATCTATCATGCCAATAATCATAGAGAGAAGTACATACCGAGAAGTCCAGTGTAGTAGGATAACGGAACATCGGTGTGTTGGATCTTGTAATGTGAAAAATCTGGAGTTATAAGACTGTACTCCCCCCATCCAACTAATCCCCAAAGTAAGTCTCCCTTTTTGTAATCTGGATGCCCAGAATCTATCACTTTTGACACTGAAAACCCATAAATTGGCTGCAAACAACACATCAAAAGCTTTAGCACCAGAGACAGTAAGTAAGATAATATCCCAAAAGACAATCACTCCTAATAATAAAAGTACAATTTCTTAGATGACACAGTATTCAAAAATGTTTCTGAATTTTAAAACAATGTTTCCAAATCCATCTCTGTTTTAATAGTGGAATTGTTTTCCAAAAACGTGGGTAACAAACAACCTCGAAACGTAACAAAATCGTGTTAATCCGTAACAATCTAGAACATGCGTCGTTTTTGTACCTCGCCGGGAATGTAAGGTGGAGCGAGCGCAGCAGTACCGGGATCGGGAATTCCCATGCGAATGCGCATGTAAGGATCGCAAGACAAGTAGAGATTCTTCACCAGAACCGTCTTCGATCCCTCCGGAATCTTTAAATCGATGGTGGAATCGGTGAAGATGAGGTCTGATTCCTTGGGGAAACCGGTGACGTAATCTCGCAGTATCACCTGCTTGTTGGTCACCGTCGTCGCATTGCATGTGGTTGCCATTTTTCTCTCCGGTTTAGGTTCCTTTACCACAAAAGATGGTTTTCGTGTTCTTCCTACGTTAGAGGACGTGTAAATCTTGTATTTATAGGCTTTTGTTAATCGTAGTACGATGATAGCCACAAACCGCTAAAAATATAAACAATGATTTTCTTTTTTATGTTTCCTGTCATGACGTCATAATATGCTTCGTATAATAATAATCAGTGACGACGTTAAGATTTTGAATCTCACATTATTTTCATACAATCACAAAATTTTGAACGCGTTTCTTCTTACATTTTAACATACAAATTAAGCAAACTTGTCCAACGCACCAAATCTTGCAGCGAGATGCAACCATTCTTTTAAAGTTATCCAAACAGTCCGCGGTAAATGGCTGACTCCACCTGCGGCTGGTGCGTTTGCGATTCAGATTCTCAAGCAATGAAGCAGCAGAGAAAGTGGAGCTAAGATGAGAAACCTTTTAGAGACATTTGGCTTCAATTTCTTCAAGAGTGAGACCCTTTGTCTCTGGCACAATGTAGTATATGAAGAAGAGAGACACTACACATATCACTCCAAATGCACAGAACAAGATTCCAGCTCCTAACAGCTCCTGCAAACAATACCAAGCGAGCTAAGTGAGGAATCTCTACATTGTTCATCCAAAGTTATAGCTTAGTTCTATGGCAAAAATATTTATAGAAAAGAAGTTTCTTTACCTTTAGAGGTGAGAAAGCGAATGTCACAAGTGCGTTTGCTCCGAAATTCACAAGAACTGCTAGACTGATTCCTCGACCTCTTAATTTTAAGGGAAATATCTCTGAAATCATCAGCCAACCAATAGGGCCAAAGGATAGCTGCAAGATTGATGGAAAGCCTCTTAAGAACATATCAAAGTTTTTAATGAAAATACAAAGCTGCATATGACAGTGCATGGATTGGAACTTTGATCAGAAAAATCTGTAAGAAATTTTCACCTGGTAACAGCCTACATACAGTAGCAATGCAGCTACAGCAACAGCTGGTACAGTTTTATAAAAGATGTAGTAGGACCCCAGGAGGAACAATGAGATCACCTGTTACACAATCGAAAATACACAAGAGTAAATTTCTGGATCCTTTAGCTTCTGTCTCATGTAATTGAAAAGACAGTGAACATGTGGTACTTGTTGGAACAAACAATTAAAAGAGAAGACATAAGAATACCATGCCACTAACACCACCAAGAAGTAAAGGTCTCCTTCCAACTCTGTCAATAACTATAACAGAAACTCCTGTCATAACCAACTGCAACATTAAAGGATCACATCAAGTCTTTGAAAGGAAAAATTCATTTATACTTACTACTTCTAACATTGCTACCAGTTGTACTACAACACGTATCAATCCTTCCATAATTTTTTGCTTAAAGGATCTGACATGTGAAACCAGATGGAAGAATATGAATACCTTCAATAGACCGAGCAGAATTGAGATCCGAGTTGCATCAGCTGCAGCAGAAAAGCCGGCAGTCTAACAGGTAATTTTTTGGTAAAAAGAAGTTAAGATTCTCTCGCGAGTTTCCTCCTAGTGCAAAAAATTCAACTTAAGTAGAGATGAAAAGAAAAACCTGTAGTATTGATGGTGCATAATAAAGTACACTTGGTTGCCCAGTTATCTGTCAATCGAAAAGTAAAAATGTATTTAGTTATTGTTCATTTTCTTAAGGAAAATTTGATGAATTGACTGCACCAACCTGTTGGAACAAGACTAACCCTCCTGCAATTGTGAGAGCTTTTAAGCATTTGCCTCGAAATAATTCACCAAATGTAGCTTCTTTGTCCTCACCCACAAAGGAAAGTTCAGCCAAGATCTCGTTTACTTGTTCAGCTGCTGAGTCAGCTATGGCAGACCCTCTAAGGCGACGAAGAGACCTAATTGCAGCCTGTTGAAGATTCTCCACATTCCCTTTTCTCTGGAGAGCGCGCAATAGAAGCCACCTCGGCGATGCTGGTAGCCAACACATTCCAATTCCCATAATAACTGGCAAAGGGAGAATTGTTGCGTACATACAACGCCAGCCAGAAATAACCGTAACCCAAAGGCTACCGATTCCATAACCTCCCTTCACAAATTTTAATGTGTCAGTTTCTTGGTGGACAAAAAGGTTTTAAAACGAAGCAAAGGCATCATGCACTCCAAACTGGGATGAAATTCCAAATCGTCAGAGCTTCGAGAACTTACAACCATCCCAGGACAGTGAAATTCCTTAGGATATATCGTCCACGAATGACAGC